ACTCAATTTGCACTATTTCTGGCAGTCTGCAAAGGCCCATAGTGTTTCTCCTATGTAGCTAATAAGTATGTGTAAATTTATGAACTGTAGCCACAATAGAGAATCCCAGCCAACTATCTGACTGCAAGAGCTTTTTGTGAAACCAGCTGCCTCAATGAATGTTGAACACCCCTTCACTGAAGTTTTATAAACAGAGGTTGGATGACCACCTGTCAGGAATGCTTTTGGTATGGACTTCCTGCATTGGCAAGGGTGTTAGACTAAAAAGTTCTTGGTTTGCATTCCGACTGTGCAGTGCTATGATTCTCCATGCATCTGCCTACATTTGGAAAACTTGTGTCGAAAGGCTGCAGCTGCATACATATTAGTGATGTGTCTCAGACATCTCAGTATTTGGCAAAAATTAAAATTATGCAACCAATTGCTCCTACATAATACAAAATGCAAATATTTCTGTCAGTTTAAAAAACAACAACAAAGGAATGAATATAGTAAGAAAACTAGCTAATGTAGCACTAATAAAATTATTATAACGTTATTGCCAATAGCAGCAAAGCAATTTAACATGAAAGCTTATGGAGCGCTCTCCTCAGTCTACCAAGTCGCATGTGAATATGTTGATGCCGTTTTAGCTTCCATAGAAGTATTTGGTGGAGTGAAAGCTAGCGACAGACCTATATATGTCATTGGTGTGTGAGAATGTTCATTCAAATTAAAAATCTTTTGTGTGAGGAAATGAAGTTGCAAGTCCAGTTTTAACTATGATCATTTGTGAACAAAGGCATTGGGAACTAGCCTTTGTGTGTGGAAATGTAATGGCAAGTCCAGTTTGGCATTGCAAACTAGGCAGTAGGTGAAGAGTCTCAAAGGTGCTACAAGATCTCTCTACATACTGATTCTACAGACTAACATGGCTATATCTTTGAATTTTAGCTTCCAGTCATATCAATGGGGAAATGAATCCATTCTGGATTTTAGTCTGAACTGGAAAGCTCTTTTAAAGTTTAGACTAATACTTAGATCAGATGCACCACCACAATGACAGGGGAGCCACTATTTGTAATCATGTTTTGACAGTGTTTTAAAATCCTGAAAATCTGCTTGATTATAGGATGAAGAAAAATAGCTTATGTGAGAAACTGTCATCGTAATATGTTATGAAATTAGATCTATAGAACTGCACAGTCATGAAGTGAGTATATAATGTCTGCACAATCATGATGTGTGTGTGAATTGTGTAACAAGGCCAGGACATCTGGCAGGCCTTTCCAGGATAGAAATCCTGGCCTCAGGAACCCCTTTTAGGGGAGCCCTCCAGGATTTTTCTTCTTAGCCCGCCTCCTCATCAACACATAACCGCTGTCTTTCCTCTAATGATTTATCTGTATTTGATGTTGTTTGTTGACTGTTGTTGTTATTATTATTATAAATGTCCTTGAAGAGGCCAGACACCTAAATGTATATCAGACTGCACCTGTGCATGTATGACTCAGCAGGATGATGTAATGTGCAATGATGTAATCCATGAGCAACCCTGCACTGGGGTTGCATCAGACAAAAGCATACAAGTCTGAACCTAATGTAAACTATTGTGAGTCAGTAGTTGTGGGTCTGTGGAGTTGTGGAGTCATGGAGAGTCAGTACAGTTGGTGTTGGTGAGAGAGTTCTAGTGTAGCTCTGTGTTGCTGTGAGCTGCTGAGGAAGAAGTCAGGGTGTTTGCTTCCATCCTTGAACTCTGTTCTGCACTTGTAAATAGTAATTTCTTATCATCTGTAAATAAATCCCTTCACTGTGAACTGTCCAGTTTCTGCTTCCCAATTTCAAAGGGTATCTCAAAAATACTGAAGACACTGAAAATCACATTCACATGTCAACCTCAGTGAGAGAAACAATGCTTCTTTCAAACAATTTCTCTCTCTCTTCAAAACTATGACATGTCTGAAATCGAAATTATTTGCCCTGATCAAGTAGGTATTACTAGAAAATCTCATGCAGAATGTCTGCATTATGTGCTACTTTATTCTTCAAATGATCTTTATAAGAAACTAATGGAGAATAGTTTGGTTTAGTCATGTGCTGTGTTCAAATACAAATGCATTCTTGGCACAGGTGAAACAAGATCCTTTACAAAATATTAAAGTTGCAGATATGCTCCTTTTGTCCAGTCTGGATCAGGATTACAATTGGAGACAACAGGCCAGAGAAATCCTGCACCAAACTGGGTTCTCATCCACCCTGAGAGCCCCACAAGAAAAAGCAGTTCAACAACACTGCAGTCAATGGCAGAACTATGCCCCCCAAAAAATCTCATGATTTGTGTGTAAGATAGTTGTTTTTGTTTGTTGTTGTGTTCTTTCAAGTTGTTTCTGATTTATAATGACCCCCAAGGCAAGCCTATGCCAGGGTTTTCTTGGCAAGATTTGCTTAGATGAGTGTTTGCCTTTGACCCTCAGGCTGAGAAAATATGACTTGCCTAAGGTCACCCAGTGGGTTTCCATGGCAAAACAGGGATTCGAACTCTGAACTCCAGAGTGATAATCCAATGTTCAAAGCACTATACCACACTGGCTCTGTGCTTTAGTCCTAATGAAATAAATGAGGCATATGTTGCTCATGAATAACTTGTCCCATCAAGTGAATGGGACTCAAGCATACTGACTTTAATCTACAGCTAATCTTGTGTACTTAAGGCTGCCACCTCAGCAGAATCCCATTCCTTGGGATTTCAGGACCAAAATTGCAAACTTGGGGGGGGAACCTGTGATGTCTTTATGATGGCACAGCATTAAGACAGGCATGAGTTGTGAGGAGTTCTAGAACTAGTTCTGGGCCAGATTGTACAAAGACAATCAAGATAAATGGCCCAGAATCCTGATAAAATTCAGCTAACCAAGTAATAGGTCAATCCAGAGAATGGAAGTGGAGACTTGTCCACCTTTCCTACTAGCACACACATTTTGCATCGGCCTGTCTACAGCACACATCACATGTGGGAAGATTGTGGGTTTTTTCAGGGACTACATTCCTTTGGACTACTTACAAGGGAGACCAATTTAGGGGAGTCTCTCCCCAGTTCTGCACCATTGATGCCAGTGTTGTGCAGCAAAATGTCTCACAAATTGTGATGTTGGCACTTCACTTGTTCTAAATGGCACTGGATGAAAGGGCATGCATCCACCATCTCTCTCCCTTCTCCTTCCTTTCAGTTCTGCTCTTTGGCGCACCAACATTGTACATGGATGATATACACAGAAATCAGCTGGGGAAGGATAGAAATGGTGCTCAGACTTTAAAGGACTCTCCAAAAATCAGACTTTCTACTTTTCCAGCACTGTTCACCTTGAGATTTGTCTCCCTCCCTGGAGAATCATCTATATGATTTCAGCTGGTCCTCTAAGATTTAGCAACCCTATGGTTGCTCCATTAAAAAAAAAGGAGGGATTAAAAAAGACCAAAGACTATATGACATAATCAAGAGCATCACTCCTTCAAGAAAAAGCCACATTTTTGGTGGTATTTCGGTTGTTGAGATGGTAAGAAAGAGAACTAATTTTATAACCTGCATATAAACCTTTTGATAAGACTGTATGTAGTGTTCAGAAAATGGAAATATACTCCTTTTTCATAATACTAGAACTTGAGACCATGTAATGACATGAATTAGCGGTAAATTCAGAACAGGCGAAAGGAAAGTATTTCTTCCTAGAAATTATTTACAGAATTTACTACCCCTCAAAGTGGTGATAACTAGATTAGGTGGCTCGACAAGAAGCATTAGACAAATCTAATGAGAATTTGTCTATCAAATGGTATTGGCTGTGATGGAAACTTCGATTTCAGGAGCCTAAGCACAGTTTGGAAAAATTACAGTGGTCATGCTGGCTGGAGGATTCGGGGAGCGGCAATCTGAATTTTTCCAGGCTCTGACTTGGGGTACAAGTAGCAGAGTATTTCCAACCGTGGAAGTATGGCACTGCATTCATTGCAAGAAAGAAACAAAGAAGTTCAAAACTGTGTCAGCAGGTAAGGCAGTTACATACCACTGTGCCTCTTTTAGGAAATGGTGTCAGCACTCAGTGTAACAACAGGAAATGTTCTTTAGCCAAATTGGCATAGCATTTAGAGATATAAGTAGTAAGCTTGGGAAATATAATAGCTGAATGTTTCCACTAACATTTGTTTCAACAGCAATA